ACAGTACCTAGCAGAGAATATTTTCATCAGTTAGATGACTACCAAAACTGTGATCTTATGTCACCAGGGAGGTGCTGCAAGTGATACTCGTGACAGAGACTGTACCGTTGTTACCTTGACACAAACTTGTAACCAAGTTGAAAACGTTTAATATTTTGGATGTAGATATTACAGATGCATCTTAATGGAATAAAATTCCATACAGGACTGCTTCAGCCAAGCATGAGCATTCTCTGTGGTGTCTTAGCAGAAGGCACATAAATCTAGCTCTTGCCCAACAGCATGGTTGATTTGGCCTGCCCACTACTGCAATCAGTGGAGACAATTAGAGATCATCTTCAATATGCCTGATATAGGTATCTGCCAGCTTCAAAGTTCAGGCTGCATAGTCATGATTTCACAGCCTTGGAAAGCAGATGATTTAAATTATTTTGTCATCTCTTGACCTTAGAAAGTATTACAGGTAGACACCAGCTTTACCTCTTGGTCAGTTGGCTGTTGTGGCACTGAATATTCATGTTTCATCCGCTCCTATCTCTGTCAGAGAGGAAAAAATCCTTGCAATGTTTAAAAGAGCATCTCCTTGACTATGGGTCATATGATAGCCTAAAGTGAAGTGCCAGGCCCTTTCATGAGCTGCTTCATATACATAAATCTGACTAAAGGATCATTTTCTGAAGATGAATAATAAGCTGGCTTCCTGTTTTTGTATTCCACTGAGAGAATATCTGAAATGTGTAATGGTTAAGCTTAGAAAGCATAGCATTTAAGTTATTGGGACAGTAATTTCCTTGAACAGCTACCACTGGGAGCAGTTGAGAGTTAATATGTGGAAAACAAGAAAGAAAATGCCCTTGGAGTATCAGTAAACTTGTGGCTTGTGTTTATGAGCCTGCCAGTATTAACAGTGATATGAAGGGAAAACAACATCCTCTTTGAGCAGATGTTTTATTCACCCTGATCATGTACAAGAACCCCCATGTGTTGGGCTATCACCCAAACAGCTTTGTGCCAGTGCTGAGAGAGACAGTGGAAGTTCTTAAACACACCATCAGTCAAGCCTGAAAGTGGCAAATGCTAGAAGATTACAGGATTTCTTGCTGTAAGTCATGGGGCCTACTCTAGTTTGAAACAAAAAGAAAGGTCAGTTTAATGGGGAATTCTGATCTCATAAAATATGCAGGATAACATACGTATGCTTATATTACTGCTCCTTGTTCTAGAAAAGTAGGAAGAATACTGGACTTGCTGTCTGTTCCAGTCAGGAGCTCACACTAAATCACAATTGTGCCACAACTTTCCCCAGTTAGTTTTCAAGGTTTTTAAAGTAGTAATCCTGTATTCAGTGTTCTCTGCCCAAATACTCCCCCAGGTCAGCAGCTGGAGTGATGCTTTTGACAAGGGAGCTACTGGCATTTCCCACCATTTAAATAAATATTTGGACCAAGGCTGTATGAGAACGTGGACAAGGAAAATATCTACGTAGTAATTATATGCTTTATTCCCCTTTCTGTAGATTGAACTCGAGAGCTGGAGAACAGAACTGTCACTGGCAGAAAGCCCTTCAGACTGGAGCTACAGAAGGAAGAAAGCTGCTGGAAGCAGGACAAGAAAGCAGGACCATTAAACATATGGGAGAAGGGTTAACTGTACACATCAACTGGAAAGCTGTTGACTGGGAATATGTGAACATCCCTACTGTTACTTCCTGTGTTTGTGCAGAAAACCACATTTCTTCTAACATCCTCAATTGCATAGCTGTGCTTTTTTATTCCCCTACTAAGGTTTAACCAGGACAGTACTATGACAGCATCAAAAGCATGGGCAATTGCTTTCCTTGTTCCAGTCACTTCCAAAAGTAGCCATTCCCATCTGGTATTACCATTAATAACCAGATAAATCAAAATAGAACTATAATGTAAGTTTATATATTGATAGCAAAATTCTACTAACACTATATAGCTTAGAACATGGCTAAAGGATCATTGTGACATATGTTCCATTTATATTAATAAACCCCCATTTATCTGTTTATTGATAGGGAAACTTTAGCTTAGAAATACATCTATAAAATAAAGCATCACCTCCATTATGTGATACTGAAGTCTGAGCAGTGTAAGTAGCAATAAAACCATACTGTGTCAGCACCTTGGCAAAAATATCTTTTCACCCAGCAGCTGATAACAAAATGTGATAATGTCACATCTGAATTAAAACAACAAGGATATTTATGCAGAGGTTTAGCAGAGAGCATTCAGCATAAAGAACACATCTGACAGAAACAGATCTATTTCTACCACATTCTCCTTTCTTAAAATACACATTGTAAGTGTTCATTTCATTAGACTGCTGGAAAGCAAGACTTTTCAGATCCTTATAGCGGCATCAGTTGAGCACATTGCAATGATGGATTGATAGTAATTTGCCTTGTAAACAGAACGCACTTACAGACCTGCACCAGGCAGCCTCAGCTGTGCCTTAAGCAAATTTCTAATACTCTTACCATGCCCTTCATTGATATGTGCAAGTACATTTGTCTGTGCATGATCTCTCTGTATGTGTGCCTAATGAAACCATTAAATCAAGCTGCAAAATGGCTATTTATCAAAAAGTAAATACCTCTGAAAAGAGCTCAGACTTCGTCTCATGCATCTCCAAGGCAAGGGCAATTAGGAGTAATTGTAGCTAGAATCACTTTCACATGGTTTTTAAGCAGCAATCCTGGAACCTGTGACAAAGCTTACTACCTAAGGACACAACAGCCCATATTTTCAAAGCTCACAAATTCTCTGTATGGAATTTGGGATCTCTCATTAGCAAAGTGTGTGCATGAGCACAGCTGATTTGCTGGTGGCCATTTGCATACATCAGGTGTGCAGAAATATGTGTGAGCATGCATCACCTACAAGGCAAAGAGGCTTTTGTATTAAATAAGCACAGCTGTGTCTCAGTCTCTTCTTTTGCCCATGCATGAGCTCCAGGAAGTAGATTCAACTATTTGAGAGTACCTGAGGCACAAGGCAGTAGCTAAGGTTAGATCAGAGAGGATGCAATGGAGAGCAGTTACACCTCCATGAGGATTTTAGCCTGGAGAACAGGAGGCTCAGGGGATCCCTTTTTGCTCTCTGCAACCCCTGAAAGGAGGGTGTAGTTGGGTGGGGATTGGTCTCTTACCCCTGGCAGCCAGTGCCAGGATGAGAAGACACAGCCTCAGGCTGTGCCAGGGGAGGTTCAGGTTGGATTTCTCCACAGAATGGTTGAGTCAACATTGGATGGATAGCCCAGAGAGGTGGTGGAGTCACCATCCCTGAAGATGTTTGAGAAATGACTGGAAATGGCATTTAATGCCATCATCTATTTAAGAAGGTGGTGTTCCGTCAAAGATAGGACTCAATGATCTCAGAGGTATTTTCCAATCTGAGTCTGATTCTGAGGATGACCAAAGCCCTTGGCTATTCTACAGCTGTGATTCCCGGGCTGGGGCAGGTTCCCCCCCTACATACAGCACATGCAGGTGCCCAGCAGCAGCTCGTGTCTTCTAAAAACCACACAAGTGCAAGTGAAGGACTATGAATGAAGCTGGGGACTGACAAGCAAGTCTCAGGAAAAAGCACACGTATGACCTGGCAGATGTGAAAATGTAAAAGCTATTGCACAGTGCACAGAAGGGTGGGTCATCTTCAGTTCCTCCTCAATAGACACACAATGGGAACACTCAGGATGGCTTTTGTAGAGGAGATAATTATCTCACAAATGCATTTAGTGTCTTGAAGAAGTCAATGAACACAAGGATACCAGTGATCTAGTGGGTATATTTAGGTTTCCAAAAAGAAACTCAGTTGTAACAGGGTGTAGAATGTCCCCTCACAAAAAATAATGTTCAAATGATAGAAAACCAAATATACCTTTTATATTATAAAAATGCCTCCTTCTTGCCAACTTGATTTTATTCCAGAGATGGTGATATTTCTGTGCTAAGAATACCACTATCTGCCTTACACACATGCTGTGAACATTCATATCTGAAAAACATGGAGGTGTTTGATTAAACAGAGCTACAGATGCGTTTCCATGAACACATTGAGAACAACCAGACCGTGCCCTCTCTGCAAGCCAGAAGGGTTCCTGTGCAATCAGACAGTTTGTTCCTGAGGAAGGGGGGAAGATTTATGAATATTTCAGTTTCTCCCCAAGTCATGCAGTCTTCAAGGAAAAATACCTAGCAATTTAAACATCAACCTTCAAGTTAATGTTTACCACCTTCAAAAGCAGACAACAAGGAACAGTCTTTCATAAACAGGACTAAAGGTGGCACTGCACAGACCAGGCACTTCCCAATGACTCAGCTGCAACACACAATACTTTTGTGATGTGTCTACTCTTATTAAGCAGGATATGCTTTTATCTCTATAACTCAGTTCTTGCTTTTGAGGCAAAACCCACACACTTTTCCAGCTGCAGAAGGTCAACATATTATTAGATGAGAAAAAAGGAAAGAGAATAGCAAAGCATGGAAATATAGAGACTCAAATAAAATTTTATACGATTATTTCTTTTTTTGCCTTGAGCTACAAAGGCAACCACTGCCTACTTTTTAGGATGTTTAATTTAATTAATACAGCCCACAAGGATATTTAAGCAACAGTTAATAGATTATAAAATACAATATGAATAAGCAACAAAAACGTCCTGTTTATGTGCATTTTGCTTTGTATTGTAAAGATAAAATGATTGTGATTTGATCTGGTCTTTCCAGCTCTTACTGAAATGACGTGCTATGGTGTTTTAAGCTTCAATTGCCACTGCTCAAACAAGCTAGTCCATCACTTAGAATTAGAAACAACTTTGAAATAAATCCTCAGGTTGTAGCAGTGACAGTGCTCACTGCCCTCCACTACTGCTTGGAAAGGCAGCTGTATTTCCACTTCAGTCTGCACTCCCTTCATGAGCCCTCCCTGCTGATGATTTTACCTAAGCACAAAGATAAACTGGACCCTTACCAGAGCAAAGAGAAAGACTATTTCTTCTTAGCTTTGTTCTCATCCTGTGGCCGCAGCTCTCTTCACAGAGAAAAGCAGGTACAACTTCTCCAAGGATTTTTCCTGGAGAAGCACAGAGAGAAGAAAACAATTCTTATCTCTGTTCACTGCTCCTGTTCTTTGGCACATGTGGAATGTGTTATGGAGATTGTTTACTGAAAGTGATTTGGTAATTGGACACAGGTGAGGGTTGTTTGGATTGACTGGCCAGTTAGGTCAAAGCTGTGTTATGGCTGTCTCCAGACAGTCTCGGGTTTTTCTTTAGTATAGTATTCTTTAGTATAGTATCTTTTTAGTATAGTATGTCTTTATTATATAATTTAGCATAGTACTAGTGTAATATAGTATAGCTTAATAAAGCATTTGTTCAGCCTTCTGAATCATGGAGCCAATGCACATTATTCCCCAGCTGGGAGATCGCCTGTTTCTATTAAATCATCCTACCTCTTTTCCTGCTCTCTAAGCTTTTTTTTAATGTGTTTTTTCTTCTAGTCTAATATATCCAGCACTCACTACAAACTGCACTGTCTTGAACACAATCAAAATTTTGCTGAGGGTTGCAGTGCAAATTCCCTAAAGGCCTCAAGAGGCCTCTGATTTGTCAAGACAGTAAAGTCATTGACTCTCTTTTTAACTTGGACACATGGCATGGGAATGCAGATGGCTCCAGCATGAGCTTCTTCTCATTGACTGGATTATACTGCTTTCTGGCTTACTTGCAGCCTGGACCTTATTATGCACACATCATTTCAAAAGTAAGGCTTCCTTGCCTCAGTATTTCCACGTGTCACAATTTAGTAACTGAGCTGAGTGGCAGCTTATGCTTCAGAATCTACACATCTGCTTCTTAAAATAAACAGGAGGATGTGACACGTTAAAAATCTCATTTTTATTCTCAGAATCTAATAATAACTGTCAAGTGTATTTACTATTGTATGACTAATCAAGGCACAAAAGAAATTAGATTTAATTACATTGTGGCATTGTATGGTTTGCTGTGGTACCTCAGCTTGATCTTACAACTTAGTACCATCTTTTTGAGTTTGACCTCTCCACTTTCTAGGTAACAAAGGTTATGTACTTTTATGAAGAAAATAGCATGACATACAAATGTTTAGAAGATTACATGACAGAGGAATGTAGCATAGTTACAGAGAGACTGGAGGACAGTAACTGCTTTAGGGTATGAAGTTCTGAAAGATGGGCAAGGCTTACAAAAATTCTATTTGATGTGTGAGGCTGATAAGCCAGGAAGATAAAGGTCTAATATTCATGAATCAAACATTCAGTGCTCCCACCTTTCACGGCAGTCTGACGGGTTTATCAGCTACAAGCCTCTAAATAATCAGGCCTTTTTTGGTTTGTTTTTAGGAAACAGAATCCCAAGTCTCACTTTTTTTTTTTTTTTTTTTTTTTTGTGAAATAAAGGGAAATACTCATTCATACACTTCATCCAGAGAGTGTAACAGCACATAATGGTAGCAACACCCAGCACCTGTTGGTCCAAACATTTGCAGTAGCTTTGTGGATACCCGGTGGCCTGGAATCACAGTGAAAATCACCCCCATTTTCTATGTTGATATTAAGACTGTGTCGTTATGAGTTAATATATCAATGATGAGGTTATTAACTTCCTTGCTCTGATGAGAAATCAGTACAGTTCTGCCCAAAGTCTTCTACTCACACATGAAATATGTGAGCAGCATCAGACAGGTTCTAACATTATATTAATAAAACTACAGACAAGCAGTGAAGCACAAAAGATCACTTTATTTTTCAAATCACACCTCTCTCATTCTTGAAAAGGTGTATTTCTAATTGTTACTATTTTAAATATACTCTATATTTTCCTGTGAAGTTAAATACTTTGAAGAAGAATCCCCAAAGAAATAAATACAAAGCACAAGTTTCACTTTATTATTTGCTTTGAGCATTGTCTGGTCCTGGATCCACTCTGGCACTCTGCTGCTCTTTGAAACAATCCACAGCCAGCCTTCCTTGTGTGCCACAGCCCTCTGCTTATCAGCTGTTAATACAAACTGTTAATACTATGCCAGAGCATGCACAAAATAGCTTACAGCAGTTTAATAATTCTAAACCTTTTGTTACAAATACACACACTGCTACTAAGAAAATAATTGGGATGCTTCTTTTTCCGGATGCTCATAGAAAATTCCATGTTATAAAATGCTTGTTTGATGATATGCATGTCTGCTGGTGAAAACTAAATCAGTACTAACGAGGTTTGCCAGGTTGTTCAATGGATAACTTACAAAACCAGACAATTCCCAAAGTTATCAACTGGATCACTGCTGCACAATCTGCAACCACCATTTTACCTGAAACCTAATTAGCCCAAAGGGTCAGTAATGCGTATCTGCCACAGTATAAAATGACAATAAAATGACACCAAGGTCATCAGAACACGCCATGTGGGGTTTATTCTCATATGATGAGCACAGTCCAATGCAATAGCATGGATCCTGCAGCCAGGGATGGAGGCCTGATGATGCAGTTTTATGATGCTTGTCACGATGATGGAGAGGTGGAAGTCGTCCAGGGCAGGCAGCATCATGTCCCTTCAAAGAGAAAGTTGAAGCGCTTCCCATACCAGAAGCTGCACTCCTGAAAAGCTTTTCTTGAAAGAGGTATCAGCGAGAGCCTGAACAGGTGTGGCTGTGAATTCATCCCAATTACATGTCTCACTTGGGACCATGTTCCTGAAAACACAATCAGGGTCTGGCAGGCTGCTTTTGCTACATACACATGCACTTAAAGAACATTCCAAGACTATGATAGAGGCTAAAAACTGTAGCTGAAACTCGTACCTGTTCACAACAAAGTCTGAGGTAGTTTAGAACCATCTATGAGAAAGAAGAAAAGGGATTTAATGTACAAGAATTTCAAGGTACCATTATAATTGCTGCAGAGAAGGGGAAGGTAATATAGTGTAAAATGGATTTAAATTACTGTCTGTCAAGAAAGAGGAGCCACTAACAGAGAATGAGTGAAAAAGTTCACTAAAAGCTAAACTTCTATTTAGCCTGGCTCTGAACATTAACATTCACTTAAAAAAAAAAATCCAAAGACAATAGTGACATTGAGCAAAGCAAAAAGGAAAGAACATTTTATGAGAGACTGGACAAGATTAACAGACATGCGGTCCAAATTGTGAAATAATGCTGAACTTCACAAAATGAGCCCATGTGCTCAGTATGATGTTCAGATCCCTGGACAGCTACAATACCTTCACATAGGGACACTGAAAAGTTATGAATTATTTCAAGGTTCACTTGTGATGATGCAGTATACTTAGAAAAGATCACTTAAGTACAATTAATGCTTTGGACAATGCACAACTAGCAAATTGAGCATATATCTGGTGTACCATGGTGAGAAAGAAATACCTAAAATTTGTATTTAAAGTTATGTAAGCCAGCGTAAACCTGACCTACTTCCTAAGTCAACAGTAAACTTCTTACTTGTTTTCCTCTTAAGGGTAACAGACTGTAAACAGATCATGGAAGCACAAGGCCCAAAAGGACTACTATTTCACACATCCATGGAGAGCCAAATCTAAATGTTGCTGACTAGCACCTGACAGCCTAGTGGTAGTTGCCTTTTGAGTCTGATGTGAATGAAAGGGGATTATGATATTTTATTCAGCATAGGATAAAGAGGTAAGACGAAATAATTTTGAAAAATTCCTTAATACATTACAATACAGAGGAAAATTACAGGGAACACCCCAGCAACAGTGATATGATGCTATGTAGGGAGGAAAAGAAAAGGAGTAACAAGCAGGTTGGGGAAAGCATGTAGAGAAAGTAAGAGCTGGAAAGATTGGGGACAAACAGAACTAGCTCAGACCACAAGAATTGTGTCTTTGTGTTGCTCTTGCCATAAAAACTACTAAAGCCTCACTTCCTGTGTTCTCTTTTAGTGCTCATATTCAGATAAGTGATAGATTCCTTAATAAAATTCGATTTTTTTAGCAAAAAAAAGGTCATATAGAAACACATCTTTGCAAATGATCACTCAGCTTGCTTAACACATACACTTCCGTTGCTATATATGCACAGATGCAGCCAGGTAATTCCATACCAGTCTTTCTTTCTGCCAAACTGCTCTTTTTGCAACTCCAGCTCTTGCTTTAAGAGGTATTTCTAATCTAATCATCCAACCCTCATGAGCTTTTTATTACTGCATAAAACCATTCATTTAAGTATTTATCTCTCAAAATGAGTAACACAATTTCTGAAACAGATCCAGATCATGCAACACCAACACCCTTGTTATTAATAATGGCAAAAACAAACTCAGAGAACAACCCAAAGAGGATCCTGGCCTGTAGAAGCAGAAGAAACCCACCCCTGCTCTCCAGCAATGAACCTGCCACTTTCAAAAGCCATTTTTCAGCAAGACAAATCTCTATGAGAAATTCCTGAGAAGAATCTTACCATCTTTTAGCAACTGAAGATAATTCAAAAATCCAACAGACAGCTATAGAAGATGCCTAAAAGCCAATTCTGTAGCCTGAATATGTTTCAAAAGCACAAGCTGAAAGTTTTGAGTAAAGACAAAAATTCTTGGTTAAACACACTTACTGGATTCCAGATATCAACCACAAATCTTGCCACCTAGCAACTACAGCTCAGGAGTATAAAGACAACCAATAGCAGACCACAAATTACATGAATGAAGGAAAAGAGAAGTCTTTGGGATGACCTGACTGTGTCTGTGCAGTCCTTAAAGGGAGCCTACAAGAGAGATGGAGACGGATGTTTTACACGGACACGTAGAGGCAAGACAAGGGGGAATGGCTTCAAACTGACAGAGAGCAGGTTTAGATTAGGTATTAGGAAGAAATTCTTTACTGTGAGGGTGGTGAGGCAGTGAAACAGGCTGCCCAGAGAAGTTATGAATGACCATCCCTGGAAGTGTTCAAGAACAGCTTGGATGCGTCTCTGAGCAACTTGGTCTGAAACGTGTCCCTGTCATGGAAGGGAGGTGGGAACGCAATGATTTTTGTGGTCCCTTCCAACCCAATAATTCTGTGATTCCCTGATTCCTCTACAGAAAGACACTGTGATAACCACTGTTCACTTGGACTACAGGGCACATAGTTTAGACACCCTCATCTGAGCAGTAATACTGTCCAACTCACTTGGTATTTCAGGACTTGGCTGGTACTTTTTGAACACGCAGAATTTGGTATAAAAGACCATATTAGATTAATTTTCTAAATTCTTCAGACTGCTTAATATAATTGACTAAAGATGTTCATGTGTATCTGCCGATTTTCAGGAGTCAGAGGATTAATTCTGAAAATGATGAGAAACTTGTTTTAACTGAGCAGCTGCACAAAGAGAACAGATGTGCCAAGATGATAAGTACAAAAAGGATGAATAAAAGTTCATTTTACCAACAGTGCAGCTTTCCTCCTCTGTGATAGCCCAGGGCCTAAAGTAGTAAGAGGCACTAGAGAGGCATGTTTACACCTGTGCAGAGTGATGCCACCACTCATTCAAATATTTAGTAATCTGAACTTCAATTCCATTACATTCATGCAAAGAATCAATTACAATTTCTTCAGAACACTGAGTTGTATTATTGTATTAGGCTGCAAGGAACAGTAGGAGAAGTACTTCTCTAATGACTGGCTATGTAAAAATGGACAATGTCATGGGTGTACGGAGCTCATTCTTCACTTCCACCATCTGGACATGCTGTGGTAATTAAACACGTATGTATGATAAGACAGGTATGTGGTTGCACAGGCAGTCAGAATGTGGGCATATGATAGAAACCTGTAGTTTCCTCATTCTATGCTGCAGTTTTTAATTTGGGCTTTCTTTATCTAAAGAAAGTTGCAGAGTGATTTTAAAACTTTTCATGTAAGCATTCAGAGACCCAGATTCCACCATGGAATGTGAGTAGGATTTTGTCATTATGTCAGCCAAAGCTTTGCAACAAAAGCTTGGCAAGGGCAAAAAGACTGCAGGGCTTTTTTTCAGCAGGTGACAGAAGTCCTACGAAGATTCACTCTGTAAATACTGCAAACCATGGCAGACAAGGTAGCTAGGAGGAATATCTGTATTCTTTGGACTGCATTCATCTTTGAGATGAGCATTTAACTTGTTTTTTATTATATATACCTCACTACAGCCAAATCGCCAATATTTAACAACTGGACAAAAACTTTGGACTGCTTCACCTATACCTTTTTTAGACATTTGCACTTTTAAAGCAACCAGCATCCTGCCATACCACAACAGCAGCGTTTCACACCTGCCTGCAGAGAGGTTTTTTTTTTTTTCATTTTGGAACTTTAGAACATATTCTAAATGCAACCTAAATAATTAGCAACAACCTCAATTTAATGCACACACACACACATATATATATACATGTGTGTGTGTATATATATGTATGTATGTGTATTTAATAGTCCAAAAACTTGACCCAGGACCTTTACTTCTGTATCCTGGAAAAAGCTTTGTGGAGCTTCCATATATATATATATATATATATATATATATATATGAGTTAACTAGTACAACTGACAACAACAACAATCAGTTCAGAGAGAACTAACGATTCTAACCTAAACAGAAACATTAACTGAGAGATGGGAATGGAAACCCGGCCTCAAGCATCCTCTAGGATATACAATTATTTTTGAAGCATGGTTTAGTCCTCTGGCAACTGATATGATGACGCACAAGCCTAAACGTTTACTCTCGGATACATTAACTCTTACTGGCTCTATCACTTGCTTACTACTCTAGTCACAACAACAAAATTACCAATGCATTCACTTGTTTATTTGACAGTAGACTAACACCTGTCAAAATATAAGCCAATTAATATCTTCATAGAGAAATGCAATCTATAGCTTGTGAAATCAAAGTTCTAGGCCCTTATTAAGCATCTCTGAGTGGGCGTCACTTTATAACTAGAACTACGATAACACAACAATCAGACAAGAAAGGCAATAACTATGTAATCTAATTTTTGTACTGAAAATTTAATTAGACTGAAACAATTACAGACTTCTTTTGCTTTCTTTTATGGAAACCAACTCTCATCAAGTCAGTTACTCAACTGAAAATTCTCTCATGTTGTCATCAGTAAAGATGAAGATACATTAAACTGAATTTTTCAGCAATGCTGAGAAGCACTGAGCTCTTACATGAGCTGTCATAATGAATAAGCTATTTTCATGGAGAAAAGAAGAAAGAAGTGGAGCTCTGAAGGAAGAAAACTGCAATGAAGAAGAGTTCTTACTCTAACAAAATTAGCAATTTCTTTTCTGTATTGTCTTTTACATTAGACTTGCATTAACTTCTCTGATTGTAATTCCATTTAGCAGCCATTTGAACTTGTTTTAAAGCTGATTGGAAATGACTTGAAAAGTATCTTGAAAAATTGTAAGCTGCACAATGTTTGCTCACTTCAAAAATTAATTTCCTTAGATAATAATTTCCCCCTACATTCTGTGAATAAAAACCCTTTTATTTTCATTTGGAAAAAGTTAACTAAATAAAAAGATTTTAGAAAGGCCTTTGCTGAGCTCCACGTGAGTTAAGTCTAAGCCTGAATTCAACTTATGGAAGTAAAATTGAGAAAAGGAGGCTTGGGGAATTTAAAGATGCTGAAGTACCAAATAGAATCAATGGCTCAATATTGTCAGTATAGTTATTTCCATTATGCAGAACTCGAACAACACATCCATTTTATAGTTTCTGATAAGAAAGCAATGAGTGCCTGGTCCGTTCTGCTCTAACCTTGTTCTAAATAGAGTAAGACTGATTACACAGTTCTGAATAATTACATCATTTCATCACTTTGATAAACCCTGATACTACACCATAACAGCACAAGTTACCTTCCCTGAAAAGAAAAGCAAAGATAAAAAATAAAAGAAAAAAAAAAAAACTTCAGAGGAATATACAGGAAGTACATCTGAACTTGGGAGTCAACAAACACAGACAATAATTAGAAAGAATGAGAACAATGAGAACATTCACAGAAAACCACAAATCAGTTCTGTGTTGTATCCTCCTCTGTCACTACTAATACCTTGCTAACACAATGTTTAAGACAAAAGACCTCTTTTAGGCAATACAGGTATTAGGGGTGTTTGGTGGTGAGCAGTATTAGAAGACCCAGTGGAGTTCAGCTCTCTGTAAACATTGTATCTTTATTTAAAGAGGGTAAATTTGAAAGTGCGAAGGGCTTGTGGCAGGGCTTGACTTAAAAGCCTGGGAGCTCACTGGGCTCATCCTGATGCCAGGTTCTCAGAGCAATCAAAATAAAGACTCTGAGAAAGGCCAGTTGTGACTGAGAAGAAGTCCAATACTAAAAATTCACCTGCATGAAAGGATAATGCAAAGTTGGTTTTTCTTTTTACTGACTTATGGGGGTGGGAAACTGAAGGGTCTGTAGGACCTCAAGAGTTTTTGCTTTGGGGATTTCAGGTATGTTCATCCAGATTCTTGGCAGAGAGTGAATGTCATGGGGAAATAAAGAGATTTCTTTTCCACAATGAGTTACAGGACAAGATCAAACAGATGTTCCATAGGTTACAGCCTACAAGACTTATTTGTATCATAAAAATTAACTGTGCACATCAAAGATTACAAATGGAAAAATTCCATTCTTTCTCTGAGAGCCTAGGCTCAGAACAGATGGCACAACCTTTTTTGATTTTAGTTGTTTTAACATTCTCTACAGTGGTGACTACTAAATACTAGCAGCTAGGAAGTTATGCTCTTTGCTTATCCACAGTTTGAGAAAAGCAGACTGGTTTGATGGAACTGCAAAGAAATACCACCACTGCCATGCAAAGACTTATCTATCAAAAGCAAGATATGCTCCAGGCATCTCAGTAATTCCAGCATGGATTGCAACTGAAAAAGTTTTCCGGTTTTGAAGGGAAAAAAATTCCAACTTTTTGGACTTATGCATAAACATGAGAGTGGTGTCCTCAGTAGCTGGTCTCAATTCTTCCATGCTCCAAAGGCTGTTAAGCAATAAGGTAATCAGCCCTGCAGACTGGGAAACGGCTGGCACATGCAGCATCCTGCCTCAGAACTCCACACTGTCAAAGGCAGCTGTGGCACATGAATTAGAAGCTTTATACAGCACAGTGGGCACCCATCTTCACCAACAGACATTCACAAGTCAGAACACAGCAGTGGGAAAAGAGGGAACTGTATGCAAATGTCAGAAGTAAATTGTAATTTGGCAATGAAAAATACTATAATATTATTGATAAAGCCTAATCAATTTTATTTGAAAGAAAAAGGATGCTTTTCTTATTTGAAATATCCTCTGATTCATTGCTACCAATGATTGTATTTCTTCTTGGGTTTAGCACAGCTAGTATCCAACAGGGAAATTATTTCAAATTAAGCAGTGTGATAAATTAAGATACAATTTGCTATGTTGATATAACTCATTTTATCACTATGGTTATGTAATAGAAAACTGTATTTATCCTGCACTAGCTTTGTTTTCTTCTGACAAGGTTATTTATCACCACAGGAAATTCCAAGTTCATAAAACTGGTTAGCTGACATTTCCAATATAAAATACTTTGTGAGGAGGAGCAAGTGTCCTAATCAATTTTGCCAATTACACCAGCGTTTGTCTTAATACAAAATCTCTTTATCCCATACTGAAAAACCGACATGGAGCTCCTTCCTAAAAGTCAGGCAGATCTGGAGAGTAAGAGACTACATCATCATAAGTGTGAAAACAGAATAAGCAAAGTAGCAGGCAATGTAATCCAGACAGATATGGATAGATAACGAATTCTGTGACTGTAAAGAATCAGATCTTTTACAATACAGTACAAAATCATCACATTTTATGAAGATCATGAGAAATGTTAATGCATACACAGTCTTTGAATTTTTAGCTCCAGGCTGTAAAACAACTTCTTGGAAAAATGTAAATTACCTGCAAATTCATCTCTTGGTATTTGAACAACTGCTTGTTGTGACCAGATGGAGTTCCACTTTTCTAAACCAAACATTTTTGATGTTCTGTTGCAAGTTGTCTTAGGCAGGCAAAATTTAAATAATCATCTTCAGGAGTGAAAAAATACAATTTTCTTCAAGATGGATGTTTGATTTAGAAACTTCCTTCTGAATGTAGGAAATTACAATTTTGAACTTTGAAAAGTCAACTAAGGTCAAGATTAATATAGATACATTAATTAGTTTGTTGATATCATGAATGCTTTTCTTGTCATCCCACTGATGAATGAGAGAATTTGCATCTCAGCAGGTAAACATGTCTGATACTTCCTTAATTTACTGTACAGCATTTGCTATAGTCAAAAAAAGGAAACTAAATGGAATACAGAATCAAAATGATTTAGAAAACAGATTACTAGTTACAAAGGAATACGGATAAAGAATCACCTTAAAAATAAAATATATTCTGGACTGATGTGTTCCACAAACAATTTTTTTGCTAATAAAAGCCTCCAGGGAACAAATACTTATTTCATATGCTTTCCATTCTGCTTGAGTAATTTTAGATTTCCACTGTAGCTCTGCCTTTTATTCCCTTCTGTTGTCCTTGCCTTGGTTAGATTAGAGAGGTAGGGTGTTAATGGGGTACTTGATAAAGATTGAAGACCTATTTTCTCCCCCCTTGGAGACCAGCCTGATTTGAACATATCGAGGAGAGTGCAACAGTCTCTTTGTGTCCTTGGGAGAAAGCCTTTTCCATTTCAATACTTCCAGCTTTCAGACATGGTCCCCTTCATTCATAGAGAAAGAAAGGTGCCAACACAAGAAGGTTCTGAATAATTTCATAGAATGTCAGTGGGGCTGCAAAAGCTCCCTTTCAACCTCCTTTATGGTTGGTGAACTTGAGGATGCGAGGTGGATCCAGGAGGGGAATGCAGGGAAGCAGGTGCTGCAGCTCCAACAGGGCAAGAAACAAGCTACTGTCCACTAGTCCCCACCTCTGTTGTTGCTACTTCCTTACTACTCTCGTCCTTGTGGGTACTGTTTTGTGCTGGGCACTCAAAATGCACACAGTGAAACACCTGTAGAGAACAAAAAATGAAGATAAAGCAAAACAATTTAATGCTGACAAAAACATGATCAAAGTAAGATGGAGTCTACATGGAAGTCTATATGGAAGTCTGCAGGCCAGATCAGCGACAAAGTCAAAATAGAATGTTTCACCATGAGGTCAAAAGCATTTACTCATGGGCAATAAACATTAGGCAGGGTCAACACTGGAGCAAGAGAAGGCCTTCAAATTATACCAACCTTTACATATAGCACTAAAAATCAGAAAGATGGTTCCAAAACGGATAGGAATATTTGAAAACATTTTTTTTCCTTTGCCAACTACCAGAAATACCTACTACATGCTATTGGATAACAACAACTATTATATTAGTTGTCTTAAACACATTTTATGATCCAATCACTTTCTCAAGAGGCTGAATGTTCATGCACACTAGAAATGAAATTTAAATCATTACCAACATGATTCTATTTCAAGATTGCCCTCTGCTGTAATAACAATGGCAGCTTTACAGACATGTCCTGGAGTATGTAGACAGGCATTCAGTGTCCAAGGAGGCTGCTGCTTCATCAGATGAAATATTCCTTTTGAAATAGTGATCATTTTCTGATGATTCAAACAACACCTGGGACCAGTGTACAGGTGACTGTGTCTTAGAGTAAGAGGACCATGTGCTTAAGCTTTTTTTCCAATTTACTTTCTACTTTACTTACTTCTACTTCTTCTTGAAGAGCCTGGGAGGAGAAGGGGGAGGAACTCTTTAAAATTGTTACAAAGCCTCTTTCCATATGATTTCGTATTGCTATGAATTGCACAACTTTGACGCATACTAAATAAAAATATTGTTTTACACTGCATTAAGTTTGTTGTTTTCCCATGCATTATAGTTTAAAAGCTAAAGCTCAATGAATATTAAATCCTGAATTTTAAAGTTATTGTCTTAACTTTGTATACTTTTATGACATCTTGTATTATTCTTGTCTTTAAAGCTCTTCTCACAAAGAAAGGTAATCTCTTATAATCTTAACTGCACTTTCCCAGACCCTTTCAAATTAATGTGGGCAAAATCAAATATCATAAACAAGATGGATATACTACATATTCATACAAGACTACAGAATATTATATTTTCTATCTTTTCTCCAATATAACCTAAAATCCTATTACTCTTTTTGACCATCCCTGCTCAACTGAACATTGAGCAGACATCTGCACTGACATGTTTGCAGTAGCCCCAGGTCTTTTCTGAGGATGTAGCAGCTAATTCGAATTCTGACAGCATACATAAAATGAATTAAAAAATTTTCAGTCACTGCTTGGTTTTTTTTTAACCACCATTTTATTTTCTTGTGCCCCCCAGTGTAAGTTTTTTATTCAGATACATTGCAATACATGCTTGTATTTCTATACATACACTCATGCTCACATAAAGATGTATTGCTATGCCTTTATATATACATATATATGAACAGATTACAAATCTGCACAGGCACCCACACATAGACACACGTGCACAAAATGGTTTTCCTCTGCATTTCTTCTGTTTTTGTCCTAAAGCTGAACTAATTCCTATACTGGCATGCATTCTCTCCATCTGCTACAGTTCATGAGAAGCCAATTTTTGTATTTATCTACACTTCTAGAAAAGTCCCTTTTGTACTCATCCCACTCCTCTGTTTTTTAAAGTAACAGCTATTGTAATTTTTCCAGCTGCACTTTTCAGGATAAGGCCTTGCAGAAAAGAACATTCTCTCATCCGTGTAGCTCTGTAAGATGCTGCTTTCCTTGAAAGGAAGCACAGAATGTGATGGAGGTCTCTGAGCCAGAAGATTCTGTATTTCTGCTGTATCCCACAATAATAGCGTTTCTCATTTAAAACCTCGCTACACGTAGTGATACAGCTTTTTTAAACATAGCGTGGATAGCCCTGAAATTTAGCTAATACTAGTCTAGAAAGTCAGAAGTACACAATTCTTAAATTGTAACTTTCATTTTTACTGATTTTTTCATATCAAATTCTTAATGGTGAAAACATGTGACATATTGGCAAGCCTGTGAATTTGGAACATGATTCTCAGTTACTGTGCCACCTCAGCATTTAAGAATACAGCGTGTGGGAGACGCCTAAGTCTGAGAAGCACAGTCGAGCCCAGCTGCCTCATCCGGTATCAGAATTAAGCATTTCAGAACAGTATCACTAAAACAAACAATCTTGCATGTGCTTCTCTCAAAAGAAAAAATGACAGTTCAGGATCATCCTGTGACCCACATCATGTTCTGCTTCTCATGGATATTTTGAGAGAGGTCAGACACACAAAGCAGGAAGGCCAAGTACAAATACACTGGTGCAGTAATTTGTAAGATAAAGCTCTCACATCAGCAACTAGGTGTCTTTTCCAGGTCAGTGATACTGGAGACAAATAACAAGAGAAAACTTACATAAAGTATCAGGTGACCTATCTGACAAATAAATGATGACAAGGAAAAATAATTCTTTTCTCTGCAAAAGTGGATGTGTGTAAGCTCAAGAAAACAGAAAGTTACACTTCTGTCATGTTCAAATATAACAAAAGCTATTCAAACTCCAGGTCAAAAAATTAAGTGAACTTGTCTTTCAGAATTTGGAAAACATGGTGAGGAAAAAACGAGTTTAAAAGATTAAAGAATTCACAAAATGGAGAAATTTTATGGGATTTCTTTTAAATTCTAAAAATCAACTCTTCCCTTTGGGATGTACAGATTGTGTTTCAAAGTTCAAAGGTATGTGTAGGTAGAACAAGTAAGGAATATTTTGTACCTATTAAAGTAATACTCATTGATAAGAATATGCTGCTGAATATGCTGTATATTTTATTAAAAATGAAAATGGTTTGACATACTGTACTAGCAGCTGTGGGCAAGTAATTCTGGACACTGCTTGTATTCTTACTGAAGAGCCTACTGAGACTATAGAACAAACCAAGACTTTGGTTAAACTCTTCCTATTTAATTTGTAAACAAGAAAAATATCTTGCTGTTTTCTTTGGAAGACTAAAATCTATGACACAACATTACAGACCCTCTCTTTTATATATATGTAATTTGGTAATATGTGCACACTGACAGTGTTCCTCCTCTATAGGCATTAAAAAAAATAATTTAAAAAATAAAAACCAAATTACTGTTGGATGCAGATTTTACAGACAAAAGAGGAACAGACAAAGGAGAACAGCATGTATTTATAATTCAACTGAGACACTACATGAATGGCTGTAACCTCTATTCATACTCATCTTCACTACAGTTATGCAGTGCTCTGTATAAAAATTATACAGGATATTAAATTCCTTGGAAATAGTAACCAATTTAAAATTGGAATTATGGCTAAAAGGCCATTGCTCTTCAGGGCTTAAAGCTACCTTCAAGAATTCAAAGTTGAAAGCAATGTTCCCTGCATTGCTAAGTTTATGCAATGCACCTCCTTCTTTTTTAACAGAGAGCTGGGAATTTACAAACACTGGCATGAGAGGAAACAAGACTGTCAATATGGATCAGTAATGGAAGAAGCCTTCTTCACACATGTACTACCCCACAGGCAGCTTCTGACACTTAATTCTAAGGACTCATTGAGGCTGAACTGTACATGGTGGGAGAGACTGCTCAGAGACACAAAATAAAAATTTGTCTTCCCAGTTCTATTGGTTGGTCAGCTACTTTCCAGCTGTTGGCTGAGACATTGATATCTGCTGCTGCTTTTGTCTGCAGGAGTTGCACTACAACTGGGAACAGACAATGCCATTGGAAGATGCTCCCAGTGCTTAGGAACCAGCAATGCTAAACCCCAAATGCTAAATACAATCAGAAAACCTCACCTCTGGAGCAGACACATTCTAATTAATCCAAATGTAGTAGTGCTACCCCAAGCTCAGTGTAAAGCATCCAAGTACCATGTTTGGTGGTGAGCTACACGAGTGGGATATAGACAGGCAGGTCTATGCACACAAACTGTGGCCTTTGGTGCCTCTTGTAATGTTGTCATTTAAAGTCCTAATCTCACAAAGACGTACATATACTATTAAATTCACATATTGTAAATTGTTTCATTGAAGTCAAGAGTAAAATCTAGACTTTATCTGAGACAATACACAATGACTACAAAACAGAGAAGCACAAGTAAACAAAGATGGGATAATACTGCACTTTCTTTTTATACAGAAAAATATCTTTTTCTGTATAAAATGAAAAGAATCTTCTGGTTTGGCCACTATTAGTCAACCAATTTACCAGGTATGAAAATAAATTATAAGTGAATCTTATGCAAATAAGATTTTCTTATGACTACTGAGATTTTTCTTGTATTTTATTAATTAAAAAGATAATATACGGGTGATAAAATCCAAGTATATCAGAGACCATACACCTTTCTCTAGTGTATTAAATTGGTATTTTAATTGTTCATCAAAATCAGGATTAATTTAAAACCAAGCCCAATAGGAGTGTTTGATGGCAGTGTGGAAAGGTCAAAACGAGGAACAGTTTCAAGTGTTTTGCTAGATTGCCAGAGCAAAAAGATGATGTATGTACATTTGAGAAGGCCTTATCAATTTGACTGCAAGATATGAAAAACTGTGTTGTAGTATATCCTTGAAGAATATGGGGTTTTTTAGAAGTTCCTTACCTCATTAGCTGTGTTGCGAGTTCCAACTATTCTGATAAAAGATGCAGGCTGTTTATCAAAAGTGATTGTTTGCCAGGATCTACAAAGAAAATTCAGAAAGACGTACAAATATTGAACAGTCACAAAAGCCTCCAATAAAACATACAGAATGCATTCAAGTGACAGTATGTACTATTATCACTTAACAGGGCAAATGCAGAAACATTTTTCATGGCCTGAATTTCCAGCACCACTTCCTCATTTTTAAGTGTCTTGACTCTGCTTATGCAATTTCATACATACCTTATACCACTATAATTTGTATGCAGGGACAACAATCATACTACTGAAGCTGAAAGTTAAGAAAATAGTCAAAGAAAAAAGGCCTGGATCAAAGCCTAAAATCCTTGACTAATGTAGACTGTATTAGATAAAAAAAAAAGGTCAGATAAATAAAAGTGCATTCTCCTATTAACTTCTCACCAGGAATCACCAGAGTTTGTTTCAAGAAAATTACAACTGCAGGAGGGAAAAAAAAAAACCGACACCAAACTACCTAAAACCTCCAACTTTTCACACTCTAATTGGAGCAGTAGAGTAAGAGGAGCCAAGATTTCTTTGTGTGGACCAAGGTCCTTCCAGAAGTTAAAAATGCCACAAAGTACCATTTGCAGTTCAGTTTGCGAGCATTTCCCCATGCTGAAACAGCAGCAGTGAGGAGAATAGACCACTCTTCCAGAGCTGGTATATAATTTTCAGGCTAGACTAGAACACTAGAGGTACATTGGGACCGCTATAATCTTTGTTCCTTACTCATACTCATCTGATCTGAGCGAGGTGCAACACCTCAAGCAACCTAATACACAGCAGGAAAAGGACACCATAACTCTGTGCTCACAGTACAACAGAACAAATAAACAGAATACCAGGAACTAGAGGTTTCAGTTGGGCACCAGTTTTCCACTAGTTTAATACTTGAACACATTAAAATTTAAATTATTTTATATTCATAAAACATGAAAAAAAAAATCCAGAACTTAGCGTCTCAGCCAAACTAGACTCTATAACAAAAGGCCTCAGAAATAAAATTGAGTTAGGTCTAACTTGATTAATTTACTATGGAAAAAAGCTGGATAGTTTTCCAGAATGGGTTCTGAATACCTTCAGAAGTGTTCATGTAAGAAAAAGGGACCAAAGTAAAACTGGAATAGAACACCACTCACTGCCAGCAGACAACCCCAAAGCCTGGCAGTATGAACAGCTTCATCGCTGACTACTTGTCTGACATTTGATTTTTCTCTTGTTCTTGGGACAACTTTTGTCACAAACATAGCATTTCTCAGCTTAATTTAGTTGGCTATTACTTTTATCACTGCTGTCTCATTATATTTGCTTAAAGAAGATTACAAATCAAATCAAATCCTATTTTTAAATAGTTTACTGGTCTTACTCCATGAGGTAATGGGTGTAATTAGAGTCATTCATGACAACAGACAGGTGTGGTTTGTGGCAGGCCTCAGAGGTAGGCAGTTATCTACCTGATGGTATGTTTTATTTATATGCCTTATGTGGCTATATCTCTATTTTAAAGCTCAGGTTGTTTCTTCATGCTCTAAATAAAATATAAAATGGGAATAGACTATTTTGTTGATTGTTTCAAGACCTGAAAGATTGTTATGATTTAAGCATTTCCCCCAAACAGGATAATTACTCTTCTTGACATCCCTTCTAACATTACTCTAGTATGGTCAGTCAATCTCCATGGGCAAACAGAGTTGTTACCTTGAACTACAATGTCCCAAAGATGAGAGGCTGGGATAAAGAGATGATCACAGCACTGCTTCTCATAACAAAACATTGCCATAGTTTGCATTATGCATATGCTTTGACATTTACACACTAAAACTTTATGCAAGGAGAATTATGATGTAAAAACAGTTTGCTTTCTCATGATTTGGAAAATATTTTAAAGCTGCACTAAATAAGAGTTTAAAATCCTAAAGAAGCTATTAAGAAGAGCCTGTGCCTCCCTAGACACTAATGTAGAGTTTGTGTTCTGTGATAAGAAAAGACCACAATAATAATAATAATAATTAGAGACCACAAAATAGAACAGAAGTGGGTCTGTATTTATTTCTACCATTTCTGAGCACTGGTCAGATACACACTGCAAGAGCTCAGTGCAGAATTTCCAAGCACGGCAATAAATGTCACTGTTTGTGCCATGATGTGATACCAGGGAAGCTGATGCATCTATCTGGGAATACATCTGAAGAGCACAACAGATAGTAAGAAAGACTGAGCAAAAAGGTCTCTGAAGATTGTTTTGATGACATACTTCCAGATGAACTCCTCCAGGAAGTTCCTATGCTTGTTCACTTCTCACTGCATTGCAAGTCCTTACTTTCTGCTACAATGGCATTATTAGGATTGTATTACAATTACTTCTTTAATAATATTAAAATATAATGAAAAATAAAAAAAAATCTTGAGGGTGTTTTAGATAGCATTTTCAGCAAATTCAGTCCTAAGAATATTTATATTTTGGTATGTGTCCATTTTACTCCTTTCTCATTGGAAAAAGAAAGTCAAAATTACTTACAATTTGTAGGCACATTATTAAAATGCAAGAATATTGCCACTGGAGAATTAATACTTAATTGCATAAGGAGAAAATTAGGTGGTTCATTTTATTTTCTTAGCAAAAAGGAGAAAAGCCAAATAGAAAACAAGCCAAGTGGATTGGGAAGAATAATTTTTGAAATAAGTAAGGCAAACCTTCACTAGAAAAACACATGGATTTGACTGTAACAGTACGTTTGAGAATGCTGATATATGCAAGGCAATACCTCTACAGTATAGACAGCATTATGCAGCAAAGAGATAATTTATGCATGTAACTATACCCCTATAAGAAAAGAGATTTCTGACAGAACATTATCAAGGCATATCTGATCTCTTTTTTGCATTTGTTGTTGATATAACAAATTGACTTAGAATTCTATTAATGTATAGAGCCATAATAATTTTTCAGTGGTGCTCCTCAATTAAAGACATCACAGGTAATCCTCAAGTTTTATTCTAACTTTCCCTTTTTACTACTAGGTATCTCTGCTGGTACTATTTCAATAATTTCACTTTCTCTGTAGAAATTCTATTTTGCAAATTGTTTTGTAGTCACATCATTTATCTATTATCTTATCACGCCACGCCTGTGTGCTTACTTTACATTTTCTTCACACAAGCTTGTCTTTCTATTCTCAAAATCACTTTTGATGGTCTTTATAAAAATTTCCTCCAAACTTTATACATTGCTCTCACAATGATTCACACATAAGTCACTCTATAACAGGAACAGCAGCATCAAAGCAGATCAAAAGCACTTCATTCTTAGCCTGGGATTAGATAGTCCTGTGTAATGGATGGCATCTCTTCACCTTTACTCCCCATATGCCAAACAAACAAATCTTTCAAACTGTTGGCAATACTTTTACTGTCCTTACCTGGGACACAGTCATAAAGAAGCTATCAGAATTTACTTCTCTCATAAAATGACACTGCTGTCTTTTGGACTTTTTGTGTCTCTGTACAGCTTATTAGTGACCCTATAACAAATATAGTTTTCAGGGTTTAGCTTTATTAAATATTCAGGCAGTGTTGATATTTTTTATGCTTTGACACCTGTCTTGCTGGTTGATTTGTTTTAGATTTGTTGGATCAGTCTGCAGCAGTTCTGGTCATCACTTTCACAACATCACTGCATCAAGCTGAGGTTTCCATCTCAAAGAGAAGACCCAGGACTAGCAGCCTACTCAGATTTATACCATGATCCTCAAGCTGAAATGCAGCACTGGAAGTTGTTTGGCTAGCAGCTCCATTTTAAAAAAGAAATTAGCCTTGTTACAGTCCTACAGCATTTAACACTCTACATCTCACCTCAGCCAGATGACTTCTAACTCTTTTTCTGCCTGACTCCCCTAAGGAGATGCAGTAATTGATGATTAGCATTCCAAAGCCATGCTTGCATCCTGTGAGCCTGTCATACTTAATTACATTTTAACTATATTCGTCTTCTGTAATAGCCTGAACATAATTTAGATAATTATCTTTTGCTCTCTTATTCTCTGACTCTGCCTGTCTCACTTAGAGCTCCTTGCAATGAAAATCACTTTCTCTGTTTAAACATATAAACAGACTCTTGGGCAAAGAATTTTCACCTCTCCAACAGCAACAGCTGAAAACCTGATGGCTTTGTGCATCTCACAATCTCTTCACCACACTTTATTCAGAGAGAGAAAAAAGATCACTAGAAATCATCCTGCTTTCATATTTCTTCTTGTCTTTTTCCTTATTAGGCTATTGCAAGAAGAATGCAAGAAATTCTGATGTCCAGGTAAACCAAATACCCTGCTATTCATTAAACTATCTATAGCTCCAAAATAGCAATTCACTTCCTAAAGGACATAATGAGTTTTCTAAGCATTTAGAATATTTTCCTAGTTATTTCTAAGAAAAGCTGCTATCTTCCTAAAGATGTATTACACATAATAGGACATAAATAGTGATTCTTCCCATTATTTCCTTCTCTTCCAAAAAGAACAAATAAAGAAGGGGAAATTTATATTTTATTGAGGTTTTCTAATGAGCCAGTGGCACTACACAATACTACCACACTATAGGCTTACTAGAGCAGCACTGATCAGAGCCGAAACCCAGTTCAGGCCAAAGATGTCAGACAAAAGAGAAGCTGTTACATGTAACTAATACTCATCAAGCTGTAATAACCATACCATATTCCTATCAAGGCTTGCTTTAGGCTAAGCATGTATGTTTTCAATGCGCACATCATGTCTCGTCACTTTCCAAGATGACATAGAACTACCATATTTCTGTTCCTCACTCCAAGAAAAACAAAAAAAACCCCAAAACAAACAAACAAAAAAACCCCAACCAACCAAACAAAAACAAACAAACAAAAAAAGGCAAAGCAGACCGTGAAGCAAATTTAATCTCCATTTTACTTTCCAATATTTGTCTACATATGCCTTATTCTACAGTAAGTGATGAAACACTTCTTTGCTTATTTGGATGCTGACTTTT